TCAATCTATCTTCGTAGTGGCTGCGAATAGAAGAGGTTTCTAATGAGGAACGCAACTAATTGGCAAGTGCTAACTTAAGCAGAATTCTAGGTATTTTTTGGCATATTAAAGTGAAGTACTAGGTATTATATATCATCCGAAAGAAGATTCTCCTTGTTCAAGTGTATACTCTCGCAACTGATGACAGCTACAATAGCACGATCAATCCAAGAAAAATGACCTAAAAGTAAAGATCATTATTTAGCGCAATCATCCTGTAGAAACAGCTTGATTATGCACAATTTATTTTCTTAATTCTTATGAGAATATCATAAATATATTGTTATAATGCGGTAGTATCTAATGTGTACATATATCATCATCATTCGCAATCTTCTGTCCCTGTATCTGCAAATAAGGATCTGCAAATAGGCATGAACTTTTTTTTTTCAAAATCTTCTTTGGCAAATCTTTTATTTCTTAATGAGTTAATTTAAAAAACATTGCATAGAAACTTTAATGTTAGCAGGAGATTGCCTCCTCCCTCCCCCAGTCAACGACCCCATTCACCTAGAGAAGTAAAAGTTTTTTGACCCCCTTCACCCAGAAGGGCCAGTGTTCAGCTTTTCGCACGTATGATCGTCACTGCAGCAAAGCCAAAGTCTGCTTGTTGTAAACTATTAATTACTTGGAAGCTTTCCAAAACAGGAGAAACCATCAAACTTATCATAAAAGTGCTAGAAGTGAAAGTTTATGCACATTAAAGGACATGAGCGACTAACCTATGACAGAGATTCAAAAAATTTTAGGATTTGAGGTAGTGGAAGTGTACACCTTAGTTAATATATCAAAGTCTTAGTGATAAACCCTTCTCATATTCTGAAAATCACCGCAATTGAAGACAGATGAACAAGACACAATATCTCAAAATTTTTGTGATAGCTTTTCAATATTTACATACGCTTCCCAGTTTTCAACAATTAAAAACGATCAGCTGAATATCTAAAAAATTAAGTCGACAACTGCTGCCGAAGAGTAGCGTGAGATATTGAACAGTCAGCTGAATGAAGAAAATACTGTTAAACAACCAACTTAACAAATTTCATTAAAAATCCATCAGTTTTTAGAGACATTATTGAAACACCTAAACCAATGACATC